ATGCGGGTAAAACAATAATAGACCACCCATTTGGGAATGGTTTATACCACCTATAAAAATGGTGATGACTGGGGGATGGTTTATGATATCATTTTGCCCACATTCACAGAGTCTATACATTCAGTGTGTAGCTGCAGGATGGGGCCCCCAATTAGTTGGTTTATAAACAATTATACCCCCCATGAAAACTAGTTCGTTATACCATAAACCCAATCGAACTCAGCCACTTTTTTTATGCAACTTAATTAGCTATCTCCTAGGGTTTCTTCATGATTTGGGGGATATCTAACATATACCAATATATACATATACTATATTAAATAGTCACTAATACTATACTATACATATAATACTACACTATAATACTAGTCATATACTAATATATACATACCATATATTACTATAATAAATAGTCTGTAGCTCCTGCGGTTTCCCCATGTTTTTGGGACTCCAATCCATCACAGCCATCGCTAGCTCAACGGGTGCGACGTCCCTTAGGGATCAGCGACTCTCGACTCGCTTCCGCGCCTGTTCGGCTTTCAGATCCAGGGCCTGAAACACAGCTTTCACCACCAGAAACAGATGAAAAAAAGGTGGGAAACCAAAATTTAGAGCAATCCCCCCCCAAAAAAAACAAAAAGATAGTTGGAAAATAGCAATGTATCACTATTTTAGTGGGATGTTATAACTTTTCTGTCTATTTGGGGATGACTAAAGGCATAAGCCTTGGAAGTTTCTGTATTGTCTATTTTTTGCCACCTTCCCCCCCAAACAAATAGACAACTCGGCTTCGGAGGCTGTTTGAGGCTACGAGGCACCAGCTTTTGGAGTTCGCTTTAAGCCCTCTGAGCCTCTCCGTGTTTACTGTTCAATATTTTTCTAGATTTCATCCACATCAATAAACCTCCAAAGCTTTTAAGCCTCCGATTTTGTTCAAGCTCCCATGGTAAATGTAAGGGATGCAATCAGATATTTTGGGCCATTTTTCATGGGGCTGTTTCATTTGAGATCGGATGAATGGCAAAGCAATAACAAACCACGCATATGATTCTGATTCTTTATACAGGTTCATACCTCCTATTTTTGGTAAACTTGGGATGGTGTACTATTGCTTTACTCACACTATATTGAATTATACACTGAACATCTTTTTTCTCTTGCCCCAACATCTTCCCGAAAGGTATCCAAATTACCACTCATCACCACTCTGTCCGCCTTTTCCAACATGGGTACCGTAAGTTCGGTCTTGTAGCCTGATTTCACCATCTGTTCCACCAAAGGCCTCGCCGCGAGCAGAGCGAGAGCGAATGCGCCCGAATGCGCCCGAGCTATGCCAGGGTGCTGGGTCAATCAAAAAATTCCACTAGATTCCCCACTTCTGGTGGAATTCCCATGAGAAAAAGCTAGAAAATCACCGACTAAGACTAAATCCAAGTGAATCATTTCAGGTGAGGTTGACCATTCAACATTGGAAACCACCCACCATTTCCAAGCATCACTGGATGCCTTCGGCCTAAACTGATTGCTCCAAGCAATTTCCCTCAGTGATAACTGGTTATAGCTCGCATCCACTCAAGTTACGGCAATTGTTCCCCTACAGTACTTAATGATATTGGAATACAAATGGGTACAGCCCTATAGCGATGTATAGCATATAATATGACTGAACCGGCTCAATTTCAGCTAACTAAAATGGTGCCAAAGTATGCTCGTTGTAACTTTTTTCTCTATAATTAGTTATTTGTTGGGATATCTATGGCTATAACTCTGCTGCTCCCAGCTTTGCTCTTTGAGCCGCCAGGGGCATCCTTGGGCCAGGGACCTATTGAGCAGCAGGTCTTGTTCCAAATTTCCCGGCCGTCGCAACTTTTTCATGCCTCAACAAACCGCGCAACACAGAGTGAATACGGAGTGGCCGGAGAAAACAGGACATATTTTCCATGATATTCCATGCAAAAGGGAAACACGTTTAAATGGATAAATCATGATAGATCCATATAGATCAAACGTTTCTTACATGGATAAATCATGATAGATCCATATAGATCAAACGTTTCTTACATGGATAAATCATGATAGAATATAGATCCAATACTACACTCCACATATTCCACCAAGGCTTCAAATAGATGTTCTATGATGTTCTATTGGTTTAGGACTTCAAACCGTGATGAAACATCTCTGGGGCTGATCAGATGATTCCCTAGGGCTCTAGCGGCGTTTCATGGGTGATATCCAGCCTTTTTAGGGGATAGCCAAAAAGGTTATTCGTCACATCACATCATCGAAAATCACCATGTTTATGACAAGTAAATCATCATAAGTCATCTAAAAATAAACCATGTTCCATAGCATTGTTCCATAACCTTATGACATCTAATCATCCATAACAATTTTTTACCGGAAGAGAATCGTCTTGGATCACTGAGGTGCCCCCAACCTGTGGTTTTCATCATGTCTGCGAAGAGTTGCTTGTCCAGCTCCTCAAACTGAATGATCAATGGAACGGGCTGAACGGGCTTGACATTGTTTACATAGCTGACATAGCTCCGCAGTTGAAAATCCACAAAATGGGTTACAAACGGCTCGGCAATTGAGAGATAATGATCCCCACCAACTGAAATTCTATCTGACATATCTATTCTCACATCCTATCTGGCATACAGTCTGACAATTTATCTGGCATTCGATCTAACATCTCTTCTGACATTCATCTGACATCTTGCACTCGCAATTGAGGTCCCGCAGTGCCCACGGCGCTCGCGGTTGACGGCGGAGTCCGAGGCGGGAGGTCGAGGACGAGGACGAGGAGCACGAGGACGAGAAGGCGGAGGGTGGGCTTTGGATCATTCGTCCACTCCGATTCATCGCATCGTCCCAGTGCATTGCGTGCGGCCAAGCCTACGGCCATCTAAATCATCTAGTCAGTGAGTTGTTTCAAGGGAAAGCGTGCAGAAACCCATGGGATTTTGCTCGTTTTTACCTTCAAAAATTATCAAATGTCGAACTTTCAACCGCAGTGTCCTTCCAATTCACCCAGAATGTGACCACCCTTTTGATCAATTGAACGTTGTTCAAACCCCCCCGTCATTCCATTATACTTCCATTTCACTCATTGGTTGGGAATGATGATCATCCACAATGTATGTTGGATAGTGTAATCCCCGAACTAATTATCAACAGGGGCTGTTGGTTCATTGCTCAGTTTTTCTCAAAAATCCCATCAAATCCCCATGGTTGCCTCATGGTTTTTGGCTGCCATTCCCATGATTACCATTGAAATTCCACCATGCCACCAGCAGGATCATCCCACGGTCGTCCTAAGTGGTTCACCTCATTTTTTCGAAGCAATGAATATACAGTGTATACATATATACATAAATATATATCATCGGTTATAAGATATCCTAGAACTTCATCATTGTCATTGCCACACACGCACATATATAATGTATACATATATTATATATATACACATCATCATATGTTCCATCAGTATATCATCATATTGACACTGATTATGATGTTTACAATGGTTATAATCATCTTCAAAGCCAGCATATGTTTGGTACATATTTGGTTATGGTTCAAAACCCTGGTACTTTAGGCACCCTAAAATAGATGCTTATATATACTGGATGATTATTCCCGATAATATGCTTTTTTAGTGGTTTTTAAATAGCTTTTGGCCCATCCCCATATGGCTTTTATATATGGGAAACAAAACCACTTACTCTACCAGGTGGTGATAAAATGTTATAAACCCCATCCCTAGATGATGTGATGATCCATTAGAATTGGGGCTACCTGGTATTTTTCAGACAAAACGGAGTTAAAGCCATAATTCAACCCATGGACTTTTTTTCCATCCGTCGCCAAGTTCACTCCTTCCGCGCTTCTCGCTTCAGCATCTGCTTCTTGGCTTCCTCAGCTTCGGCTGTCTCTCTGCTCTGTCGCCAAATCTCCGCCCATATGTGGGTTTGACATCTTTCAACAATCCTGACATAAGTATATATATATATAGCCAAGATGATTTGAATGATATACTACGCATAAACCTCCGAATTTGGGACCCTGCCAACCCCGAAAAAAATATAAATGTAATATACAGGTAGATAGATCCAATACATCGATTTGTCTGAAAATGGATAACCCCTAAATCCAGTGGTTAATCACTATTTTCCATATTGAAATATAGTAAATGGCTATCTGGGAGGTATACCCCATTTGCAGCAGTTCTTTAGGAAAAACCCTTCGCAGGAGCTTTCGGGAACAAACATCCCCCGTTTGCTCCAGAGAAAACAGCAGATTTTCAACAAAGTTCCATGAATATGTCTAAAAGAAACATAAATAAAGAATATATTTCTGAAGCAGGTCCTCAAAAAGAAGCAATAGCTTTCAAGCCCACCCTGCGATGAAATCAAGGGTCAAATAACCCGGCGGAGCCGACGATGAGTGTCAGCTCTAAAATATACGCGCGTGTGTGTGTGTGTGTACATGCATGTACCTATAGTAGCTATATTTAGCTGTATGTAGGTATCTGCACATATAACGGCCGTAGACATGTTCGTACACGTCAATGTGTGTATGCCTTTTTGACCACCAGCATCATGAACAGAATGAAAAAACAAAGGGAATGTACTTCACAAAAATGATTATGTCATTCGCAGAACCTACATGTTTTGCCCCAAATCGAAAGGATGGATCTTTGGGGACCAGTCCGCCTCATGCAAACGGCATTGAGATGTGCCCCAAAAGGAACCTACTGGATCTGTCTGGTCTGTCCAGGTTCCTAGATTTGGCTCTTCCATAATCTTCAATCAATCACTTCATGTAATTAACATAGTCGACTCAAGAACACATGTGGGGCGAAGTGGCGCAGGTGCGGCGCTTTTCACACATTTGGAATTTCCTGAGTGAAACGCATCACTAGCTAGCACAATTCATGTGGTTGCAAAGCTGCCTCGTCATTCTAATATGCCACCTTCCGGCTCTTCCGATGGATCAAATCCTTCAGGACTCTTTCGGCCGGATTGGACCAACTCCTTCACCAACTCTGTCAACTTCCTTAGACTGTGGGCGCGAAGGGACATTGCTTTATGCTGTTGTTGTGCTGAAAGCACGCAATGTGCCCCTGAACAAATTACCAAACAATGACACCAGAAAACAAGATTGCCAAAAAATGACAAGAGAAAAGGACGCATGTTGGGGAACCAACTAAATGCCTCTCAAAGCTGCTTCTGCTCCGATTGCAATTCTTCAAGTCGTGTCCTCACTTGTGGTATTGGAAATTATTCTCTACATGTTTGGTGCTTGCGAGTGGCCGTGGGAAAAAACAAAAAATACAGCAAAACGAAGAACCACTGGCCCGATCTAATGGTGTCTTCACTGCACGACTACTGAAAGATCTGAAAGGTCTTATGGTCTTATAGTGACTGTGTCAAAACTGGGAGGGCTCAGTTTCATTGAACATTAAACCGAAAAAGTTGGAATAATGAAAGGCTCGAGTTTCCTCAGTTTTTCATGCGATGACCTCAGTTGCTCATTAAACAGACCCATTGACAAAAGCCAAAAGCAGCAAAACCTGCCAAGTCACACAGCGTGCCCCAAAACAATCCAAAACAATCCCGTTTGGGTTTTGTAGCCACTTAGCCTTGACATTGGATTGCCCGAAAAAAGTTCAGAAGATGCAATAAATGTATATGAATGTGTGAACCGTCCCGACCAAAAAGTGACCAAATGCTTTCCAAAGCTGCTTCTGCTGAGATTCCAATGCTTCAAGTCGTATCCTCACTTGTGGCGTTGGTGGTTTTTCCCGGCCGTCGAAAAAACAGCAGAATTATGCAAAGAAAAACGCTGGCCCAAGCTGATGGTGTTTCCACTACACGATTGGTGGAAGGTCAATGATGGAAAAATACATAAAAAATGACGATGGACAACAGCAATGACGAACAATGACGAACAAATGTCGAATGACAACAGAAAACACGATTGAGAAAAAAAGGACAAGAAAGAAGGACGCACGTTGGGGAACCAACTAAATGCCTCTCAAAGCTGCTTCTGCTCTGATTGCAATTCTTCAAGCCGTGTCGTCACTTGTGGTATTGGAAATTATTCTCGAAATGTTTGGTGCTTGCGAATGGCCGTGGAAAAAACAAAAAATACAGCAAAACGAAGAACCACTGGCCCGATCTAATGGTGTCTTCACTGCACGACTACTGAAAGATCTGAAAGGTCTTATGGTCTTATAGTGACTGTGTCAAAACTGGGAGGGCTCAGTTTCATTGACCATTAAACTGAAAAACTTGGAATGAAAGGCTCGAGTTTCCTCAGCTTGCCATGCGATGACCTCAGTTGCTCATTAAGCAGAACCCATTGACAAAAGCCAAAAGCTGCAAAACCTGCCAAGTCACGCAGCTGCCTGGCTAGCTCATGGTTTTGGCTGCATTACACATGCTGACACTGCACAAAAAAAAACGCTACAACCAAAGCCGAGGGTCTTCATCTCACTGCGGAGGCTCCTAAGTTCCTCCATGGGCGGCTCGGCCCGGACGACCAGCCCAATGTGGCAATCCTCCGGGCTCCTGCCGCACTCCTCTCCACAACACCCTAAGGACACTGCCACCATGTAGAAAATGCCGCTGATCCGCACTTGGAAGACAAGTCGGAAGAACATAAGGATCAAAGCAAGGCAAGCAGATAAAATGAAGAGCATGGGGGAGCACAGCAGGAGGAGGACAGAGCCACAGCACCCACGCTTCGTGATGCCCGAAAGTATCACTGCGTCCAGAAACGTGTTCGAATACGCAAAGAGGGGCACCAAAGGCCCAAAGCACAATAGAAACAAAATGGCAACCACGCAGGATGGCTCTACGCAGGATGGCTCTGATCTTTTCCTGGACGAACCTTTTTCCTCATTGTGCAAAAGCCTGCAAGAAAGCCACTGCAAGATGTATGTCCATGGCCGAGCCTGCAGCTCCAACATCAGTTTAGCACGGGCTCTGAGGAAGAGCACCGCCGACTGGTCTTCATAAAGTTCAAAGTTGTTGCTGAGAACGCCCACCAAGAGGTTCATCAGCAAAATGGTGATACCAACACCGGTGATGTAGAAGAGGATGTGGGCCTCAACCTTCCATGCGTGATTCAAGGACAGGAAGCTGGTCTAAGCGCGGTGTTAGCACCAAAATGACATGAATTGAGGTTTCAAAACGCAGAAAAACTTGCTGGCTGAGCTGGCAGTTTACGTAGTTTGGTCCTGGATCTGGGTCAACAGGTTCCCACTCCTCCCCGTTGGGCTTGTAGGTGGTGTCCAACCCTTCGAATTCGAAGAGATCAAAGTCCCCAAAAATGCCCAAGCGAACGACTTGCATCAAAGCGGCGTAGACCGGTGTTGGCTCCTCCCGCATTTGCAGGTTGTAGTAAGCATGGGCTGCTGCCAGAATGCAGGCCCAAGTGACCAGAAAGAACGCCAATGTGTCTTTCAAAGCCGAAATGATGGGGAGCAACCGCGGACCCATCCACGTCTCGCCCCGCAATGAATACAATGCCCGGAGCCAGGCCATAGCGCAGAAAATGGACATCCAAGGCTTCTCCAGCTTGGTTGGGTCAAGGGCTTGGCGCACAATGGCCATCCACCCGGCCGCTATGTATGCGATGTCGGCGATGTTGTCAAACTCGAACAGGTTGAACCTGTCTCGGTGATAGCAACACACTGCCAAATGTTGCATCAGCTCCTCAAAGGACTTCTTGGCATGAAAACATAGAATAATCCATAGCGATGGTGGCACCTTTGTTGGTTCCAGGACGCAGAACAAGATGCTCTTGTCCATGTAACAAACACTGTGAGCTGGATCATACAAGATCATACTTGTTTTGAGAAACAATGGTGAAAGAACGGTGAAACATAAAAACGCTGAATGCAAAAGGTTTGTTGATCAATGGCCGGGGTCTGCAAAATGTGGTTGCTCGTGGCGTAAGGTGAAGGAAGCGTGGCACAGTAAGGGCAGCATCAAAAGACTCATCAAAACCTCGCCTGCGGTTGCGAGCCTTGTTTGCATCCACGCAGCCTGCACCAACGCTGCAACCGTGTGGGTGTGAAAGACCTCGTCATTGGTTGTGTCGGCCAACGGCTTCAGTAGCTCTGGGTTGCATGCATCACTTGCAGATAGGCCAGGTATATATTTGAGGCTGGCTTGCACTTCTGGCCGTGTGAATAAATTCCGAGATTCCAGTGTGATGTATTCGTCGTTGAAGCGATCAAACCAAAATTTCCGAGAGCCTTCGACGTCCATCATTTCTCCTTGTTCCAGGACCACCCGAAGCTGTTCCCGAATGTGGGCACGCTCCATGGCAGAATTCCGCCAATTGCCAACCCGGGCTTCTTTGGGAATTTTCTCCAAGCATTCGACGGCGGTTGGGCCCTCAGCTCGGAGCAGGAAACTAATGCTCTTGGCCCAGTCCAGGCCATCCGCCTCGAGGAGCACCGCCACCACTGCCGAGTGTCCTGCTTCAAATGCCAAAATCAACGGTGTCTTGTTCCTATACTCAAAGTTTGTATCTCCCACTGGCAGATTCACATCAGCTTTCGCCTCGATGAGTTGCTTTGCCTTCTCTTCCTGACCCTCCACTGCCTCCCAGTGCAGGGGAGTCATGCCGAATTCATCGAATCTGTCGGGATCGGCTCTTGCCGCGAGGAGAAGGGACGCACAATCTGCAGTCTTTGCCACATGCAAAGGCGTGTTTTCCCTTCCGTATTTTCCTTCGTGGACGTCTGCTCTGGCTTGAAGTAGCAGCGCTGCAGCTGTTGTTTTGCTCGCTCGAGCCGCCAAAAAGAGCGCTGTCCGAAACTCACCTCCATTTCGGAGCTCACCTCTCAGAGATTCAAATTCTTCGGCATTGCCATCGGAGCCGAGGGCATTGGCCTTTTTGATCAGATCCCACTGCCTCTTTTCAAACTCCTCAGCGAACGCGAACACAGATGAGCCGAATGCTGAACTTACAACTGAGAGGATCATTGGTTTTGAAAAAATCACTGCTACGCTACTTGCTTATCTTGCCCTTTGATTTTAATTACACTCTTTAGGACAGGAGGTACTGTAGTCTGCCCATGTGAGCCCCTGCCAAACAACAAGATACCGACAACTATGTTCCCATTCGCCTTCACCGATTCTGGATGTGCCAAACCAATTCCAATCTCTGCCTGAGGTGACGAGGTCAAACATGGATGACCTTCCCTAAATCAAAACAGATAAAGGTTGAATCTTGCTTGAAAGACTCCAAGCTTAGCCACTTACGAAGCTCTCACGCTTCAGCAGACGTTTCCTACCCACAAGCCCTACACTTACTTCCGCAAATTGGAACTCTCTATTGTTGTTTGGGCCTTGTTTGTATCATGGCAACTCTTCTTCGCTTTCTTGGCAAGACGACTCGAAATTATACAACAGGACAAGCAAAACTAGTTCATCACATAGAACTTGGTTATGACACTAAAAAACTCCGGTACTGTGCACATGGACTTGCATGCTACTACAATCCACCCGGTTCATCCACATCAGTCTAATCTTTGAACTGATCCATCATTTGAACACCCGTTGTGACCCCAAATGAATAGGTCCACTAAAAACTGTTTCTGGGGTGTGTTTATTGCTTGGATGTGCATCCCCAAACAGCACCAAAAAGGCTTGTTGCCAGTGCTGAAATCACCAATTGTTTGTATATATGCATTGCTTTTTTGGTCCATACATTACACGAGATAAAGTAAGATTGTTTTTGGTTGTCCATGCACAAGCCTTTATCCTTTTCTATTGGAAATACAGCTTAAATTGGTTAAAGCAAAACCCCCCAAAAAAGTCTTTTCAGACTAGTCTGAACATGGATAGATCCAAGTGATCTCCAACACATGTGTTTTCTCCGTGTTTTCAATGCTCTGACCCTTAGGATTATAATCCAGATTAGGCCCAAACCAAATCTGATTCATCTTGCTTCTAAGGCATCATGTATTTATCAATGTATCCTTTACAAACCATTGCTCAAAAAATGTTTTGAATTATGGAACATGTCCTTCCATTCACTGGTGTTCCTTTCCAAATAGAAGGCAATTGGGCTTCTTTAAAAGGAATATCATATTCTGTTCAAAAAACGGGTGTTACTTTCAAACACAAAGGGCAACTGAGACAATGTTCTCTTGGTGAAGCCTTTCCTGCAGATGAATGGGGTGCATTTCCAATGAAAAGCACACGGACTTTCCGAAGAAATGGTGCTACTGGCAAATACAGGATAGCTGTGTTTTTTTAAAAGGAGTGTGACATTATTCTCCTTTAAAAAATGGTGTTATCGTCAAACATAGACAAGAGCTGAGCTTTGAAGGGGGTCTTACTTCTTTTACTGGACACATTTCAAAGCCTGCAGCAACATACACTTCATATTCTGTGCAACGACATTCTTTTTGTTGTTAAAACAAATGGCGGCAGCTTTAAGTCAAGCATTCTTCTTTAAAGGAACATGTGTCTGGTTGCGGAAATATGTCCATCATCAAAAAGGGAGACAGGAATACTGCGGAATACTATACTTAAAATACAATGCATATTGTAGAGAACTAACTTCTTTTTCAAAAAGAACTTCTTCAAAGGGAGTGTTTTTCCTTAAATGTTATGCGCTAGCTCATAGCATCCATCAGCTTTTAAGTGAAAACCTTTTTTTGAAAGACGTGGATGCTGCATATTTGTGAGGAAGACTGCTCTTCTTTGAAGAAGATCATCTCTTCAAAACATTGCTTGCTGGAAATGCAGCACGGGTGCAAGTAAATAGATGGGATAGAACACATATTCCTCTTTGGACAATTGCTGTGCTGTGCAACTCAAGCTACAAGTCTTGTTGATTTCACATTACATGTTCTTCTACAGCCAGCTGGCTACAAACAAGATATTAGCATCAGTTTGTGTTGTGGGTTTTTGCTGGAATCTACTGATGGCACTGCATCAAGGGTAACCAATCATATCCACAAGCTGTTGAAAACACCAGGGAGCTTCCTTACTTTTCTAACTCAAATAGGCCTTGTAGATGAATTAAGATTGTGCTTTCAAAGGTGACTCATTTCTTTCAAAAGAATGTGGTACTTTACTACAACCATCTGGAAACAATACAGTAGTGTTTCCCCAGGCTTCAAAACAATACATTTCCAATGTCCATGTTTGCCCCACAAAAAGAAGGATGACTATTGCTTATGAGAACATATGAGAACTACATGACCTGAACCTATCCACTGCGACTTTCATTTTAGGTCACATACATATTCTACTGTAGATAATGCTTCAAAGTGGAGATATATCATATTGTATCATGGTTTCTCTTCCAAGGCGGGTTTTCTTCTTGGAATTTGCAACATTTTGAACCGAATGACTACCACTGTTCTGGAGGAGTGCATTTGGCAGCTGAATCTGTGTTTTTCTCTGGGTACGGTCAGGCCTCCTCCTTTTAAACATCATATTGGATTAAGACCATTTCACAAAGGATACAAAAACATGAGGAAGGTCCAATTTCCACCGCTGGCAACAAGCCCCTCCCAATTAGTAAATGGCTATGATTACCAGGGGAAGTTCAGGGTTACAACCCAATTTATAGATAGTTGTAGAGTTAATGATTTTACAACCAAGGTGAGCTATCTCATTTACAACCCCAAGCGCACATCTAGGGGAAGGGATTACCCCACAGGCCACTCTCAGAATTGTGACCAGCTGCATTCCGGTCCAAATCCTTGGCGTGAAGAGGCCCCAACAAGCGAACGAGACGTGGCAAAAGACGGAGCTGAAAAATGGGGTCCAAAAGGCCCAAGTGTAATCAAAGACCATTTTTGGACCACAAAAATCATCTAATTTTAGTGTAATCCAAGGCCCTATTTTTTCAAAGTTCATCTTCGTTTTTTGGAGTGGGACTGTCAGTATCCATTTATGGCAAGCAAAAAAAAAAACAAATCACCAACCCAACCAACCAAGGTCTTCCCTACAATGACTATATCCCCCTTTGACGGTGAACAATGCATTAATTGCCATGAATGGAACGACAAATGAAACACTGGAAGTTGATGAACAAATTATGTCAAGTTCGTAGTTCGTAGTGTAAAAACGTCCTCCCCAAGGGACACCATCGCACACGTCGGCACCAAAGGTGACTTCAGTCCAAGCCACCTGTTTCGGATCCGATGACGCGGCGTCTGCCTTAGGCGACCCTTTGCCAATGGACGCGGGCTCCGGCACCACGGATGTGACTTTGGTTTTGCCCTTGGGCATCTCCACTGCATCTGCGGGGTCATCCTGGCATGGTGGAAGCAACCCCTTCTCTTCAGATGTTGGCATTAAAGCAACTGAAGATGGCAGAGTAAAACCAACAAAAAGATCAGTGCGCCACTAGAATCAGGTACATACTAAAGCGTTGAAGATATTGAAGCTGACACAATAAATTGGCACACAAGAGACATCAACAAAAAGAACAACTTGGTTACCTCACTTGGTGCCAACAGATGCCACCAGCATGTTTAAACCAAGCGTCCTCCTCACTTTTCCACTCACCCCCTGGCTTTTCCATGGCAGCGATGTGTTTTAGGAAAGGATCCAACCTCCAGATAAAAAAAAAAAAAAAACTGGCTGGTGGTTGAGCCACCCATGCCAAGAGAAGTAGTAAATTGTTGGGACCATCTTCCTATGCAGGGCAAACCAAAGCTGAAAGATTACTGTAGGTACGTTTGCAACTGCTAAGCAAACTAGATGTTAAGTTTTAACATCTGTTGACTAGTCATTTGCCATCACTTGCCATTGTGTGCTCCAATGGCATGGGATGAGCTACAACGACCCAATGACGATCGTCTGCCCCAGAACTGCGAGCCAACTTGGAATGGCAGCGAATGTGCAGCTTCTATTGTCCCAGGAAGGTGTGGGTGAATCCATTTTTGTCATATTATATCCCACGCGGTCCCTACGAATAAGCATTAATGTGGATAAAACAATGTCATGTTCCAACCACAACCGAATGGGTAGTTTATGACATTGTTTTAACCTCATTATGTACCTCCAACTTCACTGGGTTCAACGGGCGAAAAGTCTGCAGTGTCCTCGTCCACCTCGGGGATCGATGGGGATCGCTTCACCCAATGCCATGGTCGTAAAAAAAACATCCAAGTCAGCATCATTTGGGTGCAACAAACAGCAATTGTTTGAAATTTGTGGTAGGTTTATGATGGTTTATGATGGTTTATGATGGTTTGTGATGGTTTTTGATGGTTTATGATGGTTTATGATGGTTTATGATGGCTTATGATGGCTTATGGCATTGGGAAGCCCCCACATTGTAGAGGTGTTACATTGATTTAGCTATTAAAAATGGTGATTATCCATAGCTATGTTAACTTCCCAGAGGGTAAGTTCGAAAATGAAACCAGTAAACCATGAATTCAAATACCCTCCGGTACCTTGACAGTTGGCCAACTGCAGTAAC